CACTCTATGGTAAATTTATAGCCATAAGTCTTCGTTATCAAGGCATTATGACGGTGCAAAGACGACCATGCCTTTTACGCGTAAAACTTGCAATTTGTAAGCGTTTAATTATAAAGATTTGCAAGTGAATGGTCAAAAACATATGTATTCTGAAAAGGTCAGATCCTCTTTTAGTCTGTGAAATGCATCTCGTGTCATTCGAGTGCATGGTTTTCAAATGCCAACATTTTTCCTGAAATGTGTAAAAAATGCCCGTTTTCTCGAGATTAGAGGCTATTTCTTTGCACGTGGTACATACCTAAGAAAAAAACTTGTTGCATACGATGGGCCCATCTCTTCTGTATCCATCAGTGAAAACCGCATGTCGCTGCGACTTACGGTTACCGAGATATAAGCTCGGGAAAGGAGCGCTGCAGGCCCGATTTTCGCCCGTTGGCGGTTTTCGCCGGCCACGTGTTAAGCCTACGGGAGCACCCTTTTGCACGTGCCGACGGCGCACCCCTGGCCCGATCACGCCCAAATTTTAATACAAAGGCCGCCCACGCCCACAGATTCGGCATGCCAAATTTCACGCCGATACGCGGCGCCTTTCAGGCGCAATAAGACACATAAGACATGACACACGGATGGATGGAGATTGGACGGACGACTTATAAATCATAATATAGATTTATTCCCGTCAAACGAATGTAGAGAAGTGGCATAACTTCTAAGTTGCCCACGTCGACAAAAAAGTCCGATCACCGTTCTGCTCAATGTCAACAGTCTGATCAAGTATCATGCAGGCATAATCAAGCAGTGTGTGTTGAAACGCATGTCCTTGCTAATGACCAGCCGCAGGAGCATATTCAGCAACGTAGCTAAGACCAGACAGCAACATGACCTTAGACGCGGCAGACTAATTAGCACACAATATTGAGATGTCAATGATAAATCGGACACCAGCTTTTTGCATACTTACCGAAGCTTAACGCATACCAACTCGGCATTTGACATTTAAAATATGCTTTTTTAGGTGTTTTGTTGGTTTTATGAGGCCTCTGTAATGTAAAACACGCTAGAAAGTTCGCAAGAATTCCGAAGTCCAGCAGTCTGAATATTGCAATCAATGTTCCGAGTTGGCTCGGTCTTTGTTTTTCATTTGGTTATTTTTTTAAATGACGCTTGGTTATCTCTTCTTTGGCATCGGTTTCCAGTAACCTGTGATTGACATCATCTTTTGTATGTCCTCCCTGCCATGCAAACCGAGTCCAGCATCTGCTAACGCAGTGTAGGTCTACATGGTCTACATCTACATGCTCAAAAATGTATATCTTTGATTCCGTGCCAAATTCTGAAGCGCATTGCTTTGTCCTTGTTGACCACTGCACGCTTATATTGCCCGTCATCGACAAAACGTAGGAGAGGATGGAGTAATTTGAACGGCAATATAATTTGGCCGCCCCCAACTGTGCGATATCTAACAAAGTGAATGAAATGATTATAGCCTTTATTCATGTGTCATTGGTGGAACTGTTCCGTGGAAAATTTTCAAAACTCTCCCCTCGTAATTTTCTTCAAAATCAATAAAACGTGATTTTCATTACAAAATAGTAACTTTAACTTCCATTTAAATACTATATAGCATGAAGTATTTGGGCTGTAAACGAATTCCGACATTGTGGCGCCATTCTTGGGGGTGTTTCGCGTATCCAAGAGCAATTTCAAATTACCGTAAAACCGTAACGACTTTATAGATAAATTGCTCAGGATGGCAATGCGAGGTAATTTGGCCGGCGCTAGCGGAGCAGCTTTCCCGGTGCTCTCAGGATCGCTATGCTGGGACAGCCGAGTTGCTAAGCTCGCATGGTGCCGAGCTGGTTGGGTTCACAGCGACCGGCGGTGGCATTGCGACACAGTCTGCCTCCTTGGGGCTGGTCAAGACACCACAACGCAATATACGAATAAGAAGCCAAGGATTTGCTCAAATCAAACTGATAGTCGCATCTGAAGTTCGCAAAAAGCATCGAACACGTGTTTACGGACATGCAGGAAAGGTTACAAGATGTGAGGGTTTGATACTGAGTTGAATTATTTCATTGATTGCAAAGAAATTTGAATTGAAATTAGTCGATTATTCCTCAACTAAAATATATACTAACATCTTTTTGCCAAACAATGCATCCTCACTAATTAAAAGTTACATTGTGAAAATATTTCTATGACAAAATAATACGAATGTCTTTCATTGAGCAGTGTGTGCAAAGGAAGCGCATTAGCAGCTGCGCAAGAAAATGTTAAAATCACTGACAAGACCTGAGTCAAAGCCATTCCAATATAAGTCCGACACCGAGTCGACCTAAAAGAAGCGTATGGACTCACGTACTTGCTGACGCTGAAGCTGACTCGCCTGTAGCATAAAGCCCAAGCCTCAGATTTACCCCGATCAAATTGCCCCACCCCACCGGCCAAATAACTCTGCTAGCGGGGAAATTTGGCCGCTTTGCAGACCTTTGTAAAACATTAAAATTTAACCCGCGCACCGACGGGGGGGGGCGGATATTCGCCCCCCTGAGGTTTTTCGCGAATAGCGGGAAAACCGCGGCGCGTAGCGCCGCGAAATTTGGTACGACTATTCCCTCATCAATTTTACACATGGTGTGCAAGTTTGAACCTCCTACCTTTCAAGGTCAGGTCACCAGGTCACTTTGAATGACCCAACCTCAAGTCACTTTTTTGCAACTTTGTCACCGTGCCAGAGCTACAGTAGATGTCGGAGGCCTTTGACAGTCGCAGGATGTTATTAAGTCATTAGTAGCTACAATTTGTTTATCTCGGAATTTTGATATCGGTGACCTAAGGTCAGGTCAATTTCGCGACCTCCCCATTATAAGTCAATGGGGGAAAAATCAACTCCCTGTTTTTACCACTAAAACGGGTCGGAATGGCCCCATATACCATACATGACTTCATATACGATCAACCTTCACTACCTTGAGGTCTGTTTTGCTGTTGGGCAGCTGTGAGGTCATGTGACGTCATCAAAGGTCACCAAAGGTTTTTGGCCAATAACTCCGTACAGGAACAAGATACAGACGCGTGGATGGTCTCATTGTGTTCAGCTCGTCAAGACGCATCGAATGATATACATGATGACCTCGAGGTCACGTGACCTGAGGTCAACCTTTGACCTTGACCTTTCGAGGTCAACATATATATCATTCGATGCGGATTGACGAGAGGATTACGATGATGCCCTTAGTTTGTTCCTATCTTGACTAATTCGAAAGTTATTCGAGAAAAACTCTCTCCATATCCAGCGCCGCCATTTTGACTTTTTCGACCCCTGTGACGTCATCTTTGACCTGACCTGAAAATGACCTAAGTAAAAATTGTAGATCTTGACCGTGCGTATCCGAGGCCGTTTACCGCTTGTCGCTATCTTGCTTCGTTCTCGAGATCTCAGGGGGGGGCGGTCATCCGCCCCCCCCCCCCCCCCGTCGGTGCGAAGTTGGCGCAGACCCCCGTCGGTGCGCGGGTTAAGTATAAGTAGTTACTCAAATTTTAAGTATAAGTATAAGTAGTTAACAAGTATAAGTAGTTACTCTATCATTTTCCGTTTATTGTACGGCAAAGTAAAATGAATGTGACACCTGCCAGCGTTGTGAGAGTGCAGAAATATGTCGCCAATTTTGAGATACAACGCTTTCTAAAAAAGCGGCCAAGTTGCCCCATCCTCCCCTATGTACTGCGCTTGTCAGGCTACCTTCATAGGTATTGGTAATTACATTGCACTAAACGTTTTAAACTCCGGTGTAAAGAATACAGCTGAAGCTTTCCGGAACAGTTGGAAACGGTTCCAAAGCTAATAAAATTTCGACAGCAAAAGTAAATAGTTAGCAATAGACGATCGATAAGGACGAGACAAATAATAGGAGCCAATATTTGAGCCGCAGCTGGTACTAAACTGCTGATATTGCTCAATCCAATCACATACTCTCCTTGTAAAGAGATGCTTTAAGTGTGCCACCTTTTTTTATACACAATAACAAGGCCACCTTTTATACACAATAACAAGCTTCCATGTAAACACGAAAACATGTAGCTAAGCAACATTAAATTTCCCTACGTTTAATACCCAATATCTTGCGTTGGCTATGGGTCTTGTGAGCATTTGACACCTTGATTTCGGTATTTTTTGCTAATCTTACCTCCCACCTATCATGGAACATGCTATTCGACGATGTACAGATGTCAGGGTCAAGGTCAAGGTCAACCTAGGTCATCTAAAAACATTGCATTTTAGGGTAGCTAAACTTACTTTTCGTGAAGTTTTTTTACTGCATTTTTGGTAAAAGCTTCTGAGTTCATGATCCCATGTAGGTGATAGGGACACACAAACCAATTCCAGTGCACGCATCAGTATACACACAGACACACACAGACATACAAACATATATCATTGACCTTGACCTAACTTGACCTGAAATGACCACAGCCAGTAAAAACCTAGTCGGATAGTGTGACAAAGTGCTGTTTTAGCTGGCTTGGCGCCACAAACGACAGCGCCATCGGTATCTGACGGACACAGCACGTGATATTCCAACGGTGGTCCCAAACAGCAACATTTTTTAGTTTGAACTGACCTGGAAGGTCAATGAATGAACTAATGAGGTAAAATTGGGTACCATTGGATTCGTTTCTTCCCAAAGAACCTGTTGGTCTTTGCCGTGAAGGCGCGGGAGGGGTGGCAACCCCCGCCGTGCGTTCTAGGATGGGAAACCGAAAATGGTATGTGCGGGCGAGGGTTAAACGAATATTATTAGCAGATTCAAAATGATGCGACGGGAACTGACGAAACCACGGCGCTGAAAGTATACGGAATCCGTCTAAAAGGCTCAGAGTCAAAGAGCTGAAAAGGCGGTCAATGAGTAATCAAAGGGGTCGGAAAGGTACAGATGGGCGGGGGCGCCTCAGGGGAAGGGAGGCGGTGCCAAAGCGGTCCACCAGTGCGCGACAAACAGAATCCCGAGGTACTGCTGAGGGGCTGCCTGCCTCTAGTGCTGCACAGGGGGATCGGACGTCTGTTTGAACCTGCTGTCTGCTTCAGAAATCACCAGCGAACGTTACAGCGTTCTCGAAACCAGGTGGGTGATGCTTTGGTGCGTGCATGCGCAAAACACACTTTGTTGTGAACGAGTAACATATGGAGTTCGATAAATTATAGGGACAGTAAAAGTGGCGACTCAAAACATGAGGCACAGTTATATTGGACTCGATAAAAAGGTAATGCAGCTTGTCATTTATACAAGTGAAGCAGTAATTGAACAAAATAAGTATAGATAAATTTTACAAATATAATCACCGGTGCAAAAACAAATGAGTTTGACGTGGACAAATCAGTCATAAAGGCAGAAGACTTTCCAACAAACTTAATTATTTTCCTTTCAATAATAAGCATTTGAAAGCAGCGAGGATATAAGCAATGATACTTGCTCATCGCTCAGGCTAGTCATGGTTGTCCATTCCTAGCAGTCAGCAGTCACTGCAACCATGCCTGGCGGATCCAGAAAGGCGGTCTTGGAAGCTACGGGGGGATACCCTCACAAAGCTTTCTCCAAATTCCAAAAACTCATGGGATTTCGATTCCTTGCGCGCTGCTGTGCAGTTTAAAACAAACGTTTTCTAAAAAGAGTTGTTCAGTTTTCGTTTTATTCTAAAAAAAAACATAAATTTCCGTCCATTTCGGGTGCTGCAGGGAGGTCACGCCCCCCCCCCCCTGGATCCACCAGTGACTACAGCTGCATGTTGTTTCGGCACAATGTTCCCTCTGCAATGTTTCCAGCGCCATTCTTATCCAAACGTAGTTTAGGCTGTGCCGGGAGTCTTGCATGCATTGCGGCACAGTATCACAGCTTCACTGTCTGAAAATGTATTCAGGCGTCCTGAATGATCCGACATAAATTGCATGCTGTTCTTGAAGCGATAGATTGGGGAGATTTTGGTGTAATAGCGCGAGCCACGACATCGTAACATGCATTGCTCTTTTCCTGGTGTGCTCTGTTTTTGGTCACTGAGTAATGTTGGCCATGTTGAGTTGTAATGTGATAATCATTTCATAAATATGCAAGATATTGCAACACAAATTGCCCGACGTTTCGTTTATTATAACTTTTTCAAGGGTAATGTTTTCATTACCCTTGAAAAGGTTATGATAAACAAAACGTCGGGTAATTTGTGTTGCAATATCTTGCATATTTAAGAAAATGTTAGTCATTTAACGTGACTAGCCTCCCGTTTTCTTTTCCCCAGTCATGTTCGGTCCGGCTCTGCTGCTAGTGGCGACTCTCAGCACTCTGGGTACCATCACCACCGCTAACCCCATTGCGGCCATTCAACACGAGACGTTCCTCAGCCAGCCATTGAACAGACATATCGACGGAGGCCACGCACCGCCCCGCTCCGGCCCCAGACTGCCGGCGCTGACTCGTCCCGCTCATCAGTTGGGTAGGGACGCTCAGAAACCACACCACTCAAAGCCAGTCAAAGAGGAAACGAGTTCGCTCACATTTGAAAATAGACAGATTCTAGAAGCGCGAATCAGAAAGATTCTAGCTCGAATCTGCCGGATGAAAATCCTGGGAACATCCGTGGCCAAGCTCAGCTCGGCGTGGCCGGAACTGTCTCTATGCCGCGGGCTTCACCTAAACAACAGGAGGAGGCGCCGTGAGCTGCCGTTCAGTCCCTTCAGCACCACCGTCAGCGCGTGGAACGACTTTGAGACCGACTATTACCCGGTGTACGACTGGCTGCCGAAGCTGCTGATCCCCGTGCTGCTGCTGCTGCCGCTGCTGGGCCTGCTGGTCAAGGCGGCTATAACGCTGGGCAGCCTGGTGGCGTCTGAAAAGGAGCTGCGCTCGCTCAGTTCGCTGGACTCGCTCAGCTCCCTGGCAGAGGATGTGTGGAGAGCCATCGACAAGCAGCGCGCTTCTTTTGAGGACTAGAGCGCGCAGGTGGACGGCTGACTGATAAGAAAAGAAGCAGTGCCGTGTGCAAGATGAAAACGATCACGAGTGCTGAGAACTGTTCTATGCTGCACAAAAATGTATAATAATAATAAAAATGTCATCTGTTTCACACCATCATTGGTGCATACAGGAAGACCCAGTGACTGCTAACACAATCATTACACACATACAAACATACACACACATCAAGATATTCATATTCAGAACGTTAAAATCAGTGCATGCACGCACATCGATCAAGAGGAAGCTCGTCTTAGCCTCATACATTGTCTGTAATGTCACTTCTCACATGAGCATGATATGTCTGATTTTGATTGACCATTCTTTTCATGTACGTTGTATGAATCGTCGCTGTATGTATGACCATTCTAAGTACGCTGAATAAATATGTATACGACTATTTCGTAATGATGCACCACTCATGCAAAGACTTAAGTTTGAACCGACCTCATCTCGTATTGTGCATGTGCTGTTAACCCGTGCCCCGTTGGGGTCTGCCGAGCAACGCGCCCTGCTGGGGGGGGGGGGGGATTTGCCCCTCCCCTAAGATCTCGAGAACCACGCAACATAACGACAAGCGGCAAACGGTGTTGGATAGCCCCAACAGGAAACTATTTTGTGACCCAATTTCATTGACCTAGGTCAAACCGATGACGTCACAGGTCAGGTCAAATGTCGAATTTTCACCGTTTACAGGCATTTCAAGAAATGCGTTGTAAAATCGAGTAAAATGCATTTCATTGAAAACCATCGATGGGGAAATGTTCGTCAAACACATATTTTGCTATTTGAGGTCACTGATACCAGGTCAGGTCACAGAGGTCAGGTCACTGAGGGTCACAATATGAAAATATCATGTGATACGTGTTTTATGGTCCATTCAGTGGCGTAGACAGGGGGGGCCATGGGGGCCATGGCCCCCCCTTTCCGCCCAGCCGCCCAGATGGCGCCCCAATTAGCGCCGACGGCTGATGCCGTTTTACAGAGGGAACATGAATTAAAAAGTGATGTGCAGGCAGGGATCGAACTCAATATCTCTTTGGGGGTACCTGAACACCACAATGTTCTCCAAGGCACCCCCAAATAGGACCTGAGCCCCCCAATGTTTAAGGGCGCCCCTCCGGAAACCAGAATATTCCGAACCCCCAGGGTCGATGGCGCCCCTGAAAGCCGCTGGCACCCACCTGAACGGAACAGTCGCCCCATTAAAGGTTGATTGCGCCCCTCTGAAAGTTCACAGCTGCCCCATTCGGCCCCATCCAAGATCGATGGCGCCCCCTGAAACCACTGGCGCCCCTCTAAAGCACCCGCATTCTTCTCAAGATCACAGTCGCCCTATCCGAGATCAATAGCGCCCTCAAGAGAGCCACTCCCCTTGAGACTGAAGTCGTCCCGCTTGAGACTAAAGTCGTCCCATTCAAGCCCAATGACGTCCCTCCAGAGCGTCCGGTGCGCTTCTGAAGATCACAGTCGTCCTCACCCGAGGTCGCTGGCGCCCCTCAAAAGTCACTGGCGCCCACCTAAACGGAGATCACAGCTGCCCCATCTTAAGATCGATGGCAACCCTCTGAAACCAATGGCGCCCTTCTAGAGTACCCGGCGCCCCTCTGAAAATCATATTCGCCCCATCCGAGACAACGCCCCTTGAGACTACAGTCCCCCATCCAAGCTCAAGGCGCCCCTCTAGAGCGTCCGGCGTCCTGCTGAAGGCAACAGCGGCCCCATCCATGCCCAATGGCGCCCCTCAACGCCCTTCTAAAGATCACAGTCGTCATCAATCCAAGGTCGCTGGCGCCCCTCAAGAGCCACTGGCGCCCACCTGAACCGGGACTTCAGTCTCCCCATCCTAAATCAATGGCGCCTCTCTGAAACCACTGGTGCCCCTATGAAAAAACAGTCGAATCATCCGAGATCAATGGCGCTCCTTCAGAGCGTCCGACGCCCTACTGAAGGCAGCAGTGACCCCATCTATTACCGGGGTTACATGAGCAAGTAAATGCGTATCAGGAACGGATTTTCCTATTCGCTCACCATTGTAGTCCGTTTGTAATGCGTATTAACTCTGCTCATGTAACCCCGAGCTATGTAAGCATTACACCCCTCTAGATCACCCGGTGCCCTTCTGAAGATCACATTCTCCCTATCCGAGTTCGTTGGCGCCCTCCAGTAGTCACTGACGCCCATCTGAATGGAGACTTCAGTCGCCCCGCCCCATTCAATATCGATAGCGCCCCCCCCCCCCCGAAACCACTGACGCTAGGTAGGTAATTATTTGACAATGGGGCTGTCTCATCGACACCAAGGACCCTTTTCAAGATGCAGCAGCCAGGCGGCGCCGAGCTGGGCTAGGATGTGCCAAGCGTTTCTTATAAGGCAGCTTCGTTAGTGCCACCCCTCGTTGCGATACCGCCCCTCAATGCGACGCCGCCCCTTCACCGTACAATACCACCCCTCAATGCAAGTGGTGCCCCCCAGCGCATTGCCGCCTATTATTGCGATGCCGCCCCCGCCTAGCAGTGCGGTGCCGCCCCAGCGTACGCTACACCGACGGAACGATCACTTTTGAAACTTTCAGAGATTGATAAGACTAACAACATGTATAAAATGTTTTTCTCGGACTTTTGATATCCATGACCTAAGGTCAGGTCAATTTTGCGACTTCTATTGGAGAAAATTGAAATGCGCCTCTTTTGGACGAATGTGGTTCAAAACCCTCTCAAACATCGGTTCATAGGTAAACATAACACACTGAATCGACAAAATGCACCTGTGACCCTTCTGTGTGCCCCTGAGGTCATCTCAGGTCATGAACGGTCACCAGCATTTCTTTCGCTATACCTTTTGATAGAGACGTGCTAAAGCGGTGAAAACACGTCAGATGTGTTCAGCTCGACGGTACGGATCGAGTGATATGCAGCATGACCCTTTCCGTCAAGGTCATGACCTTGACCTGAGGTCAACTTTTCAAAATGACCTTTCAAGGTCAACATTCGACGCGTTTCGACGAGAGGAGCACGATGCTGGCAAAATAAATGTCGTCACTGTCTTGAGTCAAAAGTTATTGCAGAAAACGATTTTAATAAAAACTGCTATTTTTGGAGTTGCTGCCCTCTGGAGGCTAGTGGCAGTCAGTCACTGGAGGCAGTCATGCATGTCCACAAGTAGGGGCTGCACGCACTAGACATCGAATTGTAAAGGTGCTGTGTGGAGAAAAAATCCAGAACGTATGTCAGTGTTCGGTCGCCTCTGACTGCAGTCGCTGCTGGTATGACAATGAGTTGAGATCTCATGGTGGATCTCATGGTCTTAAATGTTCAAGTCTTTCCTTGATTCCAATGTAGGCAATAAGTCGCAGCGTGAATCCTACATGCGTGCGCTCTGAGATTCTAAACACGGCAACCCCGGTCGACCACCGGCTGCAGCCCACAGGTCACTTCGGATCTGTGAGTGAGCCCGTATATTTTTCTCTTTTTTTGCAAAGAATAAAGATTGTGCCTATCGATCAACGTATAGTTATTTTATCGTTTCGAATTGGCATGGATGCGTTTGAGAATAAAATGTCCGTAGCCTGAGCTCGTTTCCTATATCATGCTAAAAATTCATCTAGATCAAGTTTTTTTATAAAAAAAACACCAGGCTGCAAATTGCATTAATTGGATTTTATGAAAATCAGCGAAAGCTGGTTCTTATGTACGAGTATTTTGCAACACCTAGTAAATCATGCATGAACATGACGTTACATTTTAGACTGACGCCCCTGTCACTAGCTGACAATGGCGCCCCTGCTAAGGGAAAAAGTCGCCCCCTCGAGCACCATGGCCCCCCCTTTCGCTAATCTCTGGCTACGCCACTGGGTCCATTTTATATGCCAAATGCGATTATGTGGGTCAGGCAACCTTTGGGTCAGTTTAGATTATGTTCTGGTGAAGGTCAGGTCAAGGTCAGGTCAAGGTCAGGTCAAATTAGATCAAATTTCAAAGTTGATATTTTTTGACAAAATGGGTATCGATTCGATGCAGCTCTTCACGTGGAGTTCAATGGTGGTCTTCTTTCGCGCTACGTGGTCTAGAATTGCTAAAAATTGAGTTCAAAAATTTGACGTCATCAATTTTTAACAGTTTTTTTTCGCTATAACTTTGCCAAAAAGGAGGCATCTATCTAAAATTTGGTATGTATTTATTGTATATAAAACAGCGTGCAGGGCCTATCGCATATATTCCAGTATTTTCGAAATTCGGATTTTTTGGGGGGCATTTTTTGCGTTTTTCTAAAAAGAAATAGTTTTTTATTTTTGAGAGTCAAAACCCCAATATTTTGAAAAAACCGAGATAGCAGTTTTGTAGCGCCGTTTTTTTTGTCTACATGACCATATAAAGAACTTTGAAATTGCTTGGTAACTGTAGCTTTTGTGAGCGTTTCAAGAATTCACGTTTTTTTGCTCATTTTTGCTCGAACATGACCTCAGTTTGACCCCAATAACTCCTGACCTAAGGTGACCTAAGACTCGAAATTTTGTGTGAAGGTGTCAAATTGATGCCCGGGAAGGTACTGAAAATTTGGCGGCGCTGCGCGCCGCCGTTTTTTGCTATTCAGGAAAAAACACAGGGGGTGGGTAAATTGGCCCCCCAGCGGGGCGAGGGTTAAAAGATAGGCGTGCGATTCACAAAAATAGGCACATCATTCCTAACAATCAACCGCGAGCGGAAGTTATTTGGAAATCTTGACCCTCACCGGCACGGGGGTTGATGCAACCCCCCTAAGGTTTTTCGAAAATAACTCACGGAAAAAGCGGCCAATCGCGACGAAACTTTTATTACCTTTGCGTTGATCAATTTTACATCTACCCTGTAAATTTCATGACCCTGACCCAAATGACCTTTGCCCTGTGACCTACTTTTCCAGACCATGTTTGGCCAGAATCGCGATTCGGCGTATATGTCGGCTCGCATTAGCCGCGCGTTTGCAGTTTTTTTTCGTGGTTTCAAGCGTTCAAACATGTGATTTGATGCTGCTCCCATGCATTAGGGTGGATGTCAAGGTCACCTGAAAGTCAGGTCAGGTCACTGACCTTTGATGACCTCGGTCCACTTTTTCGAGTTTACATGTTTCTGGGTTAGTTTTTGCGGCTGAATTCGAATTCAGCAGCCATTTGAACATTTACAAAGTAGTTTTGGTACCTTCGTAACATGCTACGAAGCTGTCAGAGGCGGTTGACACGTACTACGAATACCTACCCGGCAGAAATGCAGTGACTACTGGTTGACCTGACCTGACCTGACCCGACCTGGCCTAAATGCATATAGGCATCATCTGTGATAAAAACTAACATGATATTCGTGATCAGCACCCCGAAAAAACCCACAGCAGTCACACTTTACGACGTTCTAACAGG